GAAGCACCACTTGGCAGATCTTCTGGAGTCAGATCTGTGGGGAACATCTCACTTAATCCATCATCAGAGAGCTGTAATAATGAGGGAGGAGGAAGGGAGGAAGGGGAAACCAAGCCCGAAAAAGCAAAAAGGTGAATTGTCTTGCTTTGTGTTTTAAAGCCAGGAGATGAGTGTAGTGTCTTCCTGCTGTTTCAGGAACAGCCCCGGTTCTGCTGGGACTGGAGTCCTTCAAAACCTTTCTCTTGCTTAGCAGGCAGGCAAGCGGCAAGTACGGTGCCTTTCCCTCTGGTGGGTGTGGTGGATTTTTGGCAGTGAGGAGCCCCTGTGGCGTGGTCACAACTCCCCTGGGAGGTCAGAGCCCCAGACCACCGTGAGGAGCCAGCCTCCTTGGCACATCTCAGTGTTGAAAAGTCAAATTGCTACAGAAAAATTAGTTTGTACCCATGTATATCAGATGGGACTCTCGGGATAATGGCGCGTTTAAGAGCAGCTGGTTCACTCGTTACCTCTGTGTTTGTCTTGCTTCAGCTCAGAAAATGTCTAATATTAAAAAGTCTGCTATGGCAAGCTGTGCCTGGCCTAGACTTAGATGCATTGTCTTTAACAGTGCTCTTACCTATGCTTTTATTATTTAACACTTCAGTTCTTGCATGGGCAAGAAATCTCAGCTGTGGGGTTGGATTCTGTTCCTCTCTGCACTGAATAAAGGAACAGCCACACTAAAAGATTTCTGCAACAGAGCCGTAATCTGGAGAGAGAGAGACAGAAAAAAAGAACTGCAAAGATGTACGAGCACAGACTGTGTTTGCGTGTCCTGATGGCTTTCTGGGAATATGAGAAAAACCATCTGAATTTATTTCTTTTGTCATTGTCATGGCACAGCTCTTTTATCAGAGACCAGCAAATGAATGAACTGCTGAATCTTAGCCCATTCGTCTGTCATCTCCTGCCTCTGATGCAAACAGGCAGAGAGGGAGCACAAGGACTGTGTTTCAGGCTCAATCCAGCGATGCGAATTTACCCTTTGGTGTTTCCTACAGCTGTGGCAGGAGGGGTTTCTTCCTACGGGAGGGCCGTGGTGCATTGTTGCAGAATCTCTGCCAGCAATTAGCGCAAATGCCTCTCTCTGGAACAACACGAAACAAAAAGCTGTGGGGCCTGTAGGATTATGGGTCAAGAAATCCTGCCTTTATTAAGTGAGGCCATTTGCCTACCTGCTGTTAAGCTGACTAAATGCAAAAGGCTAATTTCTGGAAGGTCACCCAGTCGTGTAATGTTACTCAATTTTGCTTTTATCGTTCAACACTATTTTTTTCTTTGGTTAAGGTTCATTTGCTGCTTTCAAACAATACCTGTATTCCAAATACATCAGTGATCTGAGCAACTCACTTGGAAAAATACCATCTATTAAATGAATCTATTAAATGAATGATTTTGCAACGTAATGCGTTCGAGAAATTGAATAACCCCTATATTATTGCTTGTAATAGTCTCGTCCTTCGGCATTAAAACAAAACAGAACAAACCAGCACCTTATTTCCCAATTGTCTTTACATGTTTCAGCAAGCAGCCCTCAGTTAATGCTGAATGATGTGCTACATGAGATCTGTAAATGTTCCTGTGGTTGGTGGTATATCTTTATGTACTTACACGGTAATACTTTAATACACTGAGGATTCTCATGTCAGATATGTCAGCTACAGATCCCTAATTTACGATGGTTTTTATTTCGTAAGACTTTTTCCAAGATAAGAGTACTGTGTTTGCAGCTGGAAAGCACAAGAGACAATGGCATGTGTTAGCTCCAAAGTAAATCTGTGCTGGTATGGCTCTCGCGTGCTGTAACGGTGTCTGGCAATAGACTTGCAGTGTTGATATGATGCCACTGAAAGGAAATCTTCAGGAATCTTTTAGCCTATGTACCCCCTACCCTTCAGGTAGGGCCTGGGTGTACCTGCAAATGGAGCCTTTCCCATGGGCTGTCTCCAAAATCACCCAGCAGGTTGTCATGTGGACCCCAGGTCAAGAGGCCTCTGGATGGCACTCTCTGAAAGGCTGTACAGTTAGGAAAGCTGCTGGCTTCCCTGGGTGCTTCCCAGATGCTGACATCCACACTGTTCTCCACAGCTTCCAGGACCATCAGGTTGCTGAATTCTGTTTTGTCACTTGTTTTTCACTGATTATTTTATTTTATTTATTTTATTTTATTTTATTTTATTTTATTTTATTTTATTTTATTTTATTTTATTTTATTTTATTTTATTTTATTTTATTTTATTTTATTTTTCATTGCTGAGTTCCTGTTGCATTCTGGTTGCTTTGAAAACAAATCCTTTGGGATAAAAAAGGTAAGATTTATTTTCCCTTGGGGAGCTACTCTGTTTGCATAGCTTGTAGGTGCTGGGCTGTGAGGTATGGCAAGGCAGAAGCCTAGAGCGGGGATTTGCACCAAGACAGAGGGGAGTAAGAGACCTAATGAGGCCTCTGGGAGGATGGAGAAACTCTCTCAAGGACCAGGGCAAATCTGGCTGCTGCGCAGAAAGGCACTGAGCGAATTGAAACCAGGACTGGAAATGAGGATAAAGTGAGCAAAGGAACATCATTTGTAAAATTTTCTATCCCTTTCCCTGCTACTATAATGGTGTTTGTTTTGTTTTGTTTTTAAACTTTCTCTGTTTCAATTTCATTCGGAAAGAAATTAGTTTATTTATGCCTTCACTTTTTAAAGCATTTATGTCTCCGGGAAGATCAAGCATGCAGTCCCAGGGTAACTGTGAATGGTGAAAAGTTGAACTAGGAATAACAAGAATTTGCAGAAGTTGAGATACAAATTTAAAGATTCTGGGTCAAGCCACTGTCTGGTGTGTTTTTGTTGTCTTACCACCTGTTGTTACCTACGGATAAATCTTATTAAAGTGTAATCATAAACTCACAATTTCCATCCCCTTGTTAAATTGACACAGATGGAGTCTATTACTTGTTGTCTCAATTTCTACCTGATATAAAATCAATGCAGAATTATGACCACCAATTAGCCAATCAATAGAGACCTTTTGTTGTGTGTTGTAAGAAAGAAGAAATGCTTGTTCTCATTTTTTTTTCCTCCATTCAGAGAAACAAGTAATCTTTTCGAGACCCTATCAAGATAATTATTTGGTAGCTGCGTAAGATATTTAGAAAGGGCCAGAAAACTATTATGAAAACTGTCATCTTGCTGCTTTCCCCACCTTCTTCTGTATGTACATCCATATATGTTTGACTATTTGAAGTCTTGATCTGAGTGGGAAGGGCAAGATGAATGGATACCTACAGTGGGTCATTAAACGGAGCAAGAGTTTAAGTGCTGTTCTCCAGCATTTTCCCCAAACAGCTTATGTGCATCATACCACAACAGAGCTTCTGTACTCAGCACATGAAGATGATGCCAAGTGATGGCTTTTGTGGTTGTAAAGAGAGTGTTCTAGCCTTCAATGGGTACTATCTTTCTTAGCTTTTTTTATTTCTATCTCCGTCCCTTCCCCACCCCTGTTCTGGAGTTTGAATTTCTCAAAAAAAAAAATAAAATAAATGTGCGTTCCATGATTCAGCCTGGAAGAGTTTTGTAACTTGGTCAGAGTAATACAAAAGCAGAGTTACAGCCATACAGAACACATGAACCAAATCCAATAGTTGTTTTTGTGTTGCTGCTTACCCTTGAGCAATTTTATCTGATTTATCATCTGTTTAGACTACCGAAGAGTCAGACAAATTCATCCGATGGGAAATCAGACTCCTTTTCCTTGGTGGGTGATACCAGATGAGTGTACATTGCGGTCTCAAAATGACATTATTCAAAGGAAGTTGCCAGTGCTGTTTCCCATCCATATATCAAAAGATCTGTGCTACGTTGACATCAGAAAGGTACCGTGGCCCACTTTCATACATGCCTTAACTGTGGCTATTCCTGTCTGTATTATAACTCTAGGGTTATAATAATGCCGTGTCTGAAGCTATGCTGCATACAGACACGGGAAAAGGAGGAATTTTCCAAAGAAGGTATACAAGCAGCTTATCTGGACCAAAAAAGACAAGTCTGTAACAGAAGATCACCACCTGTAGGCTGGTTGTGGGGCTGGCCTGTGGCTCGATTATTACGAGAGGAGACAGGGGCAAAGGGAGCAGAAATCTTTAGGATTGTTATGTAGAGTTAGGTGGTGGGAAGGGACCTGAAGGGTCCTTCTTGTCCGATGGAGCATCCCTTTGTGTCTTGCAGATAACTCCCCATACAATCCCAAGGAGTCCTATGTTCACATTTTCCCACCAGCTCTGGCAAGTTGAACACTGAAACTTGTTCAGGGCACAGCAATACTCCGCTCTCTTCTGTTTGGGATCGAGCAGTGGTTTTGTTTACCGGTGGATCAGTGGTTGTTGTCTATCATCAGTGCAATATAGGTCACTTTCTCCGTACGGGAACCGGTGTGTGCCATTTCATCTGCTTTAAGTGTTGCAGACAGCTATGGAAATGACCTTTTTTAATCCAAAAGAAATTATTTTCTAGTCAAATTCAATACACGTACACTGATAAAAGCATCTTCTCTGATTTGATAGTAATGAGAATTTTATTAAAAATATTAAATTCTATCTATTGGGTATATTAAATTCAACAGTAAGTTCCTTTTTTTTTTCTTTTCTTTTTTTTTTTTTTCTTGGCTATAAAACCCATGTAAAAAAACAGGGTATCAAAACAGAGCCCTCAATTTCCAAGACAGGTGGTGTCGCCAGGCACATAATTGACATAGGCTTCAAGGGTGTAGCAAGTAAAGATGTAGGCCTAGCTCACCACAGCAATTAAACGAGTCCTAACTCAGTAGACCCTAAGGCATGTGATTTAAGATGTTTCTAAATTAGGATCAAAAGACATAAAATGCCTAAATGTTATTGATCTTGATTAAGCAAACAACAGTTAATTTTCTAGTATATTGCAACTCTGGTTTCATTATTTTCTAGATAAATGGCAACATACAGCAGCTGAGCTACCTTCACGTGTTCTGCAGTAACACAGACATTTACTGCAGGGCTAATCCGTAATCAAATGCTGCTAGAGCTGACTGTGCTTCATCTTGTTCCTTAAACTAGTCACAGCTGAACTAGCCAAGGCTCGCATTGGCTATTTTTTAGGACGCAGCTGACTAATTCAGTCTTTCTTTAGATCAAGAGGTGGACAAATATGCAAATCTACTTTGTAAGTGATTGTTTGTTTTACATTTATCTTCTCTGGGATAAAACTGTTTGATCTGGGTTATGATGTGGATGCAGTCCCTTTGTATCAAGGTATTTCTGTACCTAAGATGTTCAAGAAGGACTTGAAACTTCAACAGTATGGTAATGCTGCATGCAGATGCTTCAGTGTGGAAATTGGGTGTTAGAAGTCAGTAGCAAATGGTATGTTCTTGTCCAACATTGGCTGGAAGTACTGGAGAAGCAGCCCTTTCCAGAAAAGCTGGAACATCTTATTTTTGAAAAATGTTAAAGTCTGAGACTTGGGCATTTCAATTGTGAATTGAAACACTGCAGTGCTCCCCTCCCTCCCCCCATTATTTTTTTTTAAAGATCATGAGTCTATGGTGAAAAGTTGTCTAAACCAGACTTCAGTTTTCTTTGTCTATCTTCTCAGCAATAGACCCATAAGTTACTTTTTTTTTTTCATAAAGTTTTCTAATTTATTCTCTTGAAAATCCCAAATCACCAAATATCTTCAGATACCAGAACCAAATTTCAGCATTAGAGATTGACCTGAAGATTAACCCAACATTACTAGCTCAAGAAGTTATAGTTTCTTTCATTTTGCTGTTTCTTTTGGGATACTAATATAAAGTAGGTTATGAGTTTTATTTTCAGACTGATTGATCAGTCAAAGATTTTGCAAAAACGCACTTTTGTAATGTTATTCCTGTCTCAAAAGATTTGAAATTATGCCCTCAGCTCAGATTTCAGTACGCAGTGATACTTCCATGTTATGTTCTGTAAGCATCGGTGGTGTTTCTCTTTACATTTAGGTTGTAACTCTATTTACTTACAGTAATTTCTTTTCAAGTTAGTCTATGCCAAATAGGGTAATTGGAAATCTTCCTTCCCCCTTCAGCCTGAAAATGTTTTCATTAGAACTAATGTCTGCTCTGGTGAGATTGTTATCCCAAAGATGTTCAGAAGTACTGATCTGGTCAGGGCAAGTATTGCTAATTACAACCTTCATGTCCTCAATAAACAGAACTAGCACTATCTCTGGTGCTGTTTAGAAGACTGTGAGGGGAGAAGTTAATTTCAAATACAGATCTAGCTGGAGTAAGAGTATGAGCATGGGGCTGTGCCGTTGCTTTGATTTATAGCATCTTTGTCCCTGGGTTATTTCCCTTTCCTTTTCGGTCTAGTTGCCTTACATTCTGTGTAACCAGATGCAGCGTGTGAAATCATGTCATTTAGATGCTGCCCTGTTTCTCGGGGTCTTCACAATGGTCTAGGTCACTGCAGAAGGTAAGAAACTGTACAAATAACATCTTACCATTCCCAATTTCTGCATAAAGTTTCTCTGTGAACTGCTTAGTCAGCAGGAAAAAGAATGCTTTACCAAACACCCAAAATACACATGCACAAAGGAAGCCAAGCATGCGTGAAGGAGGAAAGGAAACCTTATCCCTGATGGAAACAGCAGATGAAATATGTTTTTTTAGGCAGATGGGACTTAAGCTGGCCATATAATTTTAACTACTTCTGAAGGACCTTGGGAACTTCAATGCCCAGAAAGAAACTGAAAGGTGGGATATGTAACATTAATGACTGAAGTGGAACAGGTGTTTTTTTTTTCTTGGTAATTCATTATTAGTGTTTTAAAGGCTGTAGGAGGCAGGGCTTGTTTTGGTTTTCTCTTTTTTAAGTTGGGGAATATTAGAGCATGGAAAACAATAGGTTTCCCATTCCATGAGCAAGCTGTTTGGGACTCTCAGGGCGTTGCTTTTAGCTCATTAGATTGAATCCTGCTGGAGTGATAGATGCTGCAGCCACCATTCAGTGCTGGCAATCTGGTGTGTCTCCATGCTTAATTAGTCAGTGAAATTAGTCAGCTTGAAAGGCAGCACTTGCCTTGACAGAGGCATTGAGAGAGATTGGATGTAGCGTGTTGGGTTTTCATGTGGTGAATGTTTGGGTCCCGGGGGCTGACAGTCAGCTGGGGCATGAAGCAAAGGGGACAGAAGAAGGAGCATGGCTGAGAGGTGCGGGAAATGCCTTGCAGAAAAGAGCAAACAGGGTCTGGGTCTGTTGGCACGAGCTTACAAACCACAGGGCACCATTTCAAGAGCTTATAGGAGCTGGGCAAACTGAACTCTGGCCTGCTTGCTGAGCAGCTGCCTGCCTGCCTGCCCTCAGAAGCGATGAGGTATCACTATGGGTATGTAGGGAGATGACTTTTAAATATGCCCAGCAGACTTTTTGGGCCTTTGCTGGTGGTAGGCTGCATGGGAAACACATGTAAATTGTGCCCCAGAGTAAGCCACAACTCACACCCACCCGCTCCTTGGCTCTTCTTCAGGAAAGACGGATCTGTCCCGTTCTCTGCGAGCTGAGTATCAGTTCTGGTGACAAGAAGCTATGTAAGTTTGCTCTCATGGCAGATGAGGCAAATAGCATTCAGGCTGCATCGGAAAGAGCATGCCCAAGCAGATCAGGGAGGCTGCTATCTCCATCTACTGGTAAGACAGCACCCACGCTGCTGGATCCAGTCTGGGGCTGACCAAGTTGTGAGGGATATCCAGACACTGGAGGGGTGACTGGGAGAAGGCTTCAGTCTTGGCATAACCGAGAGGAGCAGCCTTGAAGAACATTTAAATTGCTATTTCTTTTTAAAATACAAATCATCTCACAACTAACTATTCCTATGCTTTTTCCTAACAGAAAAGAGTGAATTTTCCCCTTGCTCTGGTGCTGAAGGCATTTAGCTTTGTTCCTGTTTACCACTTGAGGGATGAGTGGTTACTGGTATTCACTCGTGCTCCTTGGCTTTGGGATTGCTCACTACTGCCATAACACGAGACCGGTGTTTTGAGCCACTGAGGGCCAGGGTCTGCTCTCCTTGTTCTCTGCAGCTAGGGTCACTTCTCTGCTCGTGTCTGAAAAATACTTGGGCAAGCCTCTACTTCTAAATGAGGTGTTTCCTAATTTTTTTTTTTTCCCTAGAAGGCTTTGCAACTGTGTGTTATAGAAATGTTAATCTACCATAAAGACCTCTTTCCTATAGTATCTGATTTAAAAAAAAGTGCTGCTTTGCTCACTCAGCTAAAGTCCGTGCAGGGCTGCAACTCTTCATGGTGGTGCAAAGGGACAAAAGCGATAGAAGAAACCTCTACAAAAGCTGTAGACGCATCATGCTACGTTTTAGAGCGTTCACGAATTTATCTTGCTGTTATCTAATAAAAAAATCAGGATTGCTTTTTAGGCTTGAGGTTGTGAAGAGAAAGCAAGCACTTCAGAAATCTATTAATAATTGGAAATAACACAACTTTCCTAGTTGAAGTTTTTCTTTTACTGTAAGGTGCAAGACTTGCTAATGGCAGGTAAGTACCTTTATCAGAGAGGGATGCAAACACTTCTGTGGGGTAGCTACACCATAATGTACTCAGCGATAAATTCCCCTCTGCCTTCAGAATAAGGGATGACATCTCAGGAATAGTAGCAGGCAGCCTAGCTTCTAAAAAGGGCGAAACATTGCCATCTTGAGGTTGCTTTTCTGTATGGTGTCTAAGTGTGATGAGAAAAGTATTCAGCTACAGGTAATTAAAAAGAAAACATCTTCAGTTCTGCTTGAAAGGCTCTGATGGAACACAGAGATAAAGCTCGTGCAACAGACAACTTGATTTTCGTTAAATGTGCCCTTTTCATCATTTTTTAAAGAAGAAAAGTATTTATCATGTTGCAGAATCCTATTAAAATATGAAGTACTCTTTTGTTAAATAACAATAAAAGGGAAAAAGTCCAAGGTATTTTAACCATAGCTATTAATTTTAAGAAGTCCTAATGATCCAAGATCTGGGTGGATCAATTTGATGTTGAATTTTAGCCCTCAAAATGCTCATGATTTCAGCACGGTGTGTGTGGGGTTGAAGTCCAACAGAATTGCAGAGACAAAGGAGAAATTCCCCAGCGCTTCTCAGGCAGGCTTTTTAGTGCTTGCTTGTGTATAAAAATTAAAGATTATCTGGGAGCAATTTAATTAACTTTCTCTTATATAGTTGACCTAATCATTGACTTTGAACCTGCTGCTGAGTGTCTGTGTTTTTTAGCTTCTTTGTCCAAGAAACAGTTGTCAGGCTACCTGAAATGTATAAATGACTCCAAGGATAACGTGAAATATGCTCAGAGAATAACTTTGCTGTGTAGATGCTAGTAAAGGTAATCGGCAGGCCCCTGAGCACTGCGTACGTGCCAGCTGAACACCTCTCAGTATCACCTCTGCTGTGATTGTGAAGGGTGCTCGTGTTACAGGGTACATCCTCACTTGTAGAGGGAATCCGAATTTTGCAGTTAGGATCATGGACATACTTTGTATTACGTTAATTTTCCTTCTTATGGGCTAATTTACAGAAATAGTATCTGAGCTCTGAGATGAAGTGTATGGAAAGAACTGATGGAAATCCAGAAATTATAGGATTTAGGATTCCATCATTAGGATTTAATAATGGAGTAGCTTTTATTTCCTTTGTTCTTTGTCCCTCAGAGTAGTACATGTTAACTAAACTGATTTCATTCTTTTTAAAATGAGGACTGAATTTCTTCAATATCCCACTTAGTACCTCTTTTTTTGTGGGTTTTGTCATTGTTGTTGTTTTTTATACATAGGGCAAAAGATGCTCAAAATAGAATGCTTTCATGAGCCCTGGTTTCTATAGGCTTAGGGTTGTTTCAGGTCAGGGCAAAGGTCTGTCTAGTCCACTAATTTTTCGAACAGCAGTCAGTAGCAGATGCAAAGGGAACACTTGAAGAAGCAGCCAAGAATATTTCACCACCCATTTTTCTACTCAGATATTCAGTTATGGCAAGTCCAATACTAAAATATGGACATATTTAGGTATTTATCTATGTTCATATACACAACCATGCCAAGAAACAACCTCCTGGCAGGTAATTCAAAGAAAAACGTTTTTACTGAATTGGAGGCATTAGCACAAAAAAAAAACAAAAAAAAAATCATCCTAATAACTGGAACTGTTACAAGCTGACTAGAGGAGATGATAAACCCTTAAAACGGGATCAAACTTGACAAGAAAACAATGGTTTGTTTCTTTTCCACTGGCATTGCTGGTCAGGTGCTAGCTGTGACACCTGGCATTTGCTATATGGCAGGCGACTGTACACTTGCATATCCACCTCCCAGCAGCAAATTGCTGGCTGGGCCATAAAGCTGAGTGCTTCTGGGGAGCAGTGAAAGTTGCCCATGGTCCATGGTGGAGCTCTTGTTGCTTCCAAGTATATTATGTGAGTGCCTGGAAACAGAATGGAGCTGCTTCAGAGTGGGGGAGATGTCTTTTGAGCGTGTCACCCCAGATGTGATGACAGCTGGGTGACTGTTTGTCTTAGATGTATAGCGAAGATTACAGCCAAGTCTGTGCAGATGGGACTAGGTTTTCCCTTCTAGCACTCTTCTTGCTCCTAGAAACCAGAATGAAGCAGAACTGGCTTGTGGGAATGAAGTAACAGAAATATCTTGCCATTTGTAAGAACATAGACTAAACAAAAAGATTATGGCCCTTAGGTTACATCCATGTTCTTACTTTGCTTTCAGAGGAAGCTGTGAGGCTGTAACTATTCCTGGACTGGACCCTTTAGATGGCAAATATTGTGATTTAGTGCTAAACTGTGGCATTAGCATCTCTAAGAGTTTGCACGTTACCAGTGAGGGTTTTTCAGAAACCTGAAAGTAGAAAATTGCGATACTTCTTGTTCCATGACTGTCAAACATTTCAGTTTTATGGGTTTCCAGCTTTCCTCTATAAACCCGGCAGCAGGAAAGTGGATCTTCTTAACCAAAAGCCCTTTAAGAATAGAGTATCCTGAGAATCTGGATATGTTGTTAACAGTGCTTGTGACTTTTGAGCTTCCTCTTTACCCTTCAGAAGAAGCAAAGCATACTCCTCGTGTATCAGACCAGCTCTACTCCAGCCAGAGCTGACTGCACTCTTAAATGTGTCTTCTGGTCAGCGCAAAGATTTTGGGGATCTTAAGGGACTGCACCAAGGATCAGAGATCCAGCTCAAGCCTGTGCTCTGCAGCAGACTTCAGGGCTGCCTTGGTCAAGTCCTTTACATGTTTGGCCTAGGAACAATGAAAATGTGTCAGTTTTGCCCTGAGAAAAATGTTGTTAATGGGTAATGAGGTGATTTTTTTTGTTGTTCCACAGTAACCAAAGCCATTTTGATACCTCAGCAGCTTGTGCCTTGGTATGAGATTCCTGTTTCTTGCTTCTGGTAAGCCAGGTAGTGCTAAGCTTTTCCTTTGCATCTGGAAAGCTGTCCGGTGTGCGGGTGTCTTCCTCCTGGTGGAAGCTGGATGGAAATACAGCTTGCTCACACGAGTGAGAGGTGGCTTGTGAGAGCATCAGTTGTGCAACAAAGGCAGGGGAGGGGGGGAGCTGAGTGTGCAGAGCTATTGATTCTTTTTCCAAGCCACTGGTTTTGCATTTTCTGCTTTTTCCTGCCAAATTATAGATCAAAGTGCAGCCCTGAATGTGCATGTTAGAAAAAAAAAAAAACACTCAGATAACTTCCAGTTAATTATGTTACAGCCCATTATTGCGTTAAGACGTAATGGTTGATTTCATCAGAGTTAATTGTTGCATTTTTAATGTCACTATCAAAGCGAAGTATCCTAGCCAGAAGAAGCAGCACATCTTCTGTTACGCAGCGGCTCGCGTGTTACTACATGCCAGAGATCAAGACTTGGCTGTCTTTCTGAAAGACAGATTTGATTTTAACAACAAATGATTGGGTTTGGTGCAGCAATTACTGGGTGATACTCCGGGGTCTCCAGGCAGGAGGTCAGAAAGGATCTTGACAGCCAACGTGTCTGATTGTGGTGAAGCTTAGATACCTGCGTTATTGTTTTTGTTGTTTTCTTTTTAATAATTATATATATTTTTAAGAGAATCCTCTTAGCTGCACTGATGCACTATTAAACAGTTGGGCAAGTGGCTTCTGAATCTTTCCATGGATACAGAATTTCCTTGATTTTGTGTTTCCAGGTGATGCGTTGTGGCTGCTTCATTTTTAGGCAGTCCCTTGTCTGTGAGCAGGAGATAGACTCTCTGAAATGGATGGCTTGTACCAAAAGCTGTCTCTGGCGCATAACGTGGAATATGCAGTGGTTAGCTTCTTTGCATCAGCAGTGTTTTTTTTGGATTTTTTTTTCTAAAGTAGAAATGAATGCATGTGTAATTTATGCAAGTCAGATTATTATATTAAAATCTATCGGACTTATTTTAGAATTATATTTTGCATTGCTGACTCTACAAAAGAGACAAACCTAGACGTTGTTATAGCTGACTGTACTACTGCTTCAGACTCTTTATAGGGAGGGGAAGAGATCCTAAATATGATTTAGGAGCTACTTAAACTTGTATAGGAAAGCTGCTCTTAGGGAAGGCTGTGATAAGAGAGCTGCTTAAGGCTAAAATTAGTTGCTTTCATCTCAGTAAAGGCTGGGGTTTGCTCTCCTAATGGCTTTTAGTGCCCGTTGTCTACTCACGGTCTTCCTTGAAATAGTTGCAACCTACAGATCTGAAAATAGGGAAAGAAATACAAAGCTGCCAGCAACATACAGCACCTGTGGGGTGGGATACTACTGAGCCTTGCACATCCTTCCTGCAGGCCTGCGTGCTTGCTGCACTGCTCACTTCAGACGAAACCGAGCACCAGACAGTGTTTTGATGTCATTCCTTTGGAAGAAGGCTGAAGAAAGACAGTATGGTCTTCTGTGGCATTGGGGCGGCTGCTCAAATGGTGTGCTGGCTTGTAGCCTGATCTGATGTCTGTGCAGAGCCGAGAGCTGCTGTGCCTGGATGGGTTATCTCAGAAGTTTAGTACCAGCTGCAGGGAGGCAAAGTTGTCTCCTCTTGGCAAGTCAGGAAGCCCGTAAGTACCTTTCAGATTAGGAGGCAGCAGCAGAGCAACAAACAATGTCTGTGACTGGCAGCAATTGTCGTCATCCCAATCAGCCCTGACCTAACTGGCTGTACATTTTGCAGCATCTAGTTGCATTCGGCGGCTCTCCTCCATCCGGGTGTCGTTCGTTACTGAGACCGTTCTGCCAGCAGCTCCACGATGCCTGGGGATGCCAGCGCAAGAAGAAAAGCGACATTTTGAGAAGGATGTCAGTTCTTCTTCAACACTGCAAAACATCCACCCATCTGTCACACATGCTTGTCTTCTTTCCCGGCACTCCAGCACCTCCATATCACTCATTCACAGCGTACAGCTCAGCACAAGGGAATTTATCAAATTAGTGTTATCAATCATATGCCAGCTCACATTACTTGCAAGCGCCAGAACCACCTTCTTTTTGCCCCTCACCATCAGATTTGGGCTTTTATTTTAAGCTTATCCTAGAGAGAAGAGCTGGAGAAAACAAGCGGGGAGGCAGTACTGAAGTGTCTCTGGAAGACCAAGCTGGCTCGCAGACAAATTGGATGTCTGTATCCTGAAGGAAATCTGTTGTCTGATCACAGCATCAAAGGTGGAACTCTTAAAGCTACACACAGTCGACTGTGCCCCGAATCCTTCTGCTCCGTTTTGTTTGAAACTGTCTGGTAGCTTTATTTATTCATTTTGTAGCATAGACGATGGTGATTCTTTACAGGAGAAGAGGCACCGTGACCCACCTAAGTAGCTTTCATGTTAATACCAAGACAAATAATCCTCACGCTGTTGATTTGGGAAATCATGTGCAGCCCCAAGTCCCAGGTAAAACATCAGATGTGGTTTTACTTAACATCTTGGGGGCTGATCTATGAAAACAGTCGCTCTGCGAAGCAGCCAGATAACCATGAAACCACAGAAATATGTTCTGTGACTGTAATGAAGTGTCAGGTGCAGGGTAATTAATAACATGCTGCAAAGTTCCTGCTGTGTGAAAATACAGCAGTGGGTATGCCTACGTTACCAGAAATACTTTCAGTTCAGATTGACTTAAAATTTCAGTTCATTAAACTGTCAGGAACTCACAACAACTATAAAGAGGGGAAAACATTGATTAGTAGCCGCAGAAGTTGCAGGCCTGTTTACACGAAGCTGGATTCAACTCTGTGAACAGGAGTTGGCTGTAAATAATAGGCTTGTTTTTTAAATGTGTACATATTACTACCACATCCATCCTTTTATAGAGCTCAGAGGTCCAAGTCACAACATTGCACCAAGCCATGTTAGAAAATGAGTATTAGAGCACCGTTAAACATGTGAGCCTGAAGTAGAGTAAATCCCGGTGAAAATCCAATCCAGTTTAATGTAGAATTTTACACGCTTTGTATACAAATTGGTATTTGTAGAGTTACCTGGATTAATTTTGTTGTTATGCTGTTTAAGAAAAACTTAATAAACAGATATAAAGCATACATGCTGCACACACTCAGTGTGAAGATCAGGTAATTTGACATTTCACCTGTGAATTATTTAATTTTCTCAGATGTTTCTGCTGATGTCTTCCATTTATGTCCTTATTGTCATCTTCAGAAATGTCTCATTCTTTGAGGCAAGAATTTGATTTCTTTTATCAGGCATTTATATGAAGTGACTTTATACGAGTCTTGGATATCTGTGTTACTGCTGAGTTAGAAACCAGCCTTAACAATGCTGGAGAAAATTAATTCTCCTTGTGTCTCTCTCAGTCACCTTGAATGCCAACTTCCAAAAGAGAGATAGCATTTGTTGCTCTGAGAGCTCTGCTGTTTTGTCACTGAGATAAGATGAAATCTCAGACTGGTGAAGCACGCACAAGGCTTATCAGGCAGTTCAGTGGATGCACTTTAGGTTTGGAGGGCTATGAAAGATGTGACTGAATCAGGAACTTTTATGTTTAAGTATCTGCAAACTTACAGGTGAGCAGGGAAAAGTGCTTGAAATTCCAAACCAGCTCTAAAGAGACTTTTTTCATGCAACTTATTAA